TGTTATATGTCAAATAAACTCCTCTGTTAATGGAAATTCATCAATTACCCGCCCATCGTCTTATAACGGTCATTCTGGAATCCCGGATATACAAAATTGCTCCCCGCCTCATTCGAGAAGCACGCCTGCTTCGCCTCCCCCCCTCTCGACAAAGCCATCTCCCCCTCTTCCTCGGCACGGAAAACACCTTCGGCTCGATCCCGCTCAACTCCTTCTCCAATTCGACAATCACAGATTCACCGCATTCGACTCCATCTTCCTATCTCTCTTGATTCGCCTCCCCTCTGCACCGAGGCCTTCGCTTGCCTCGCCTCCCCTTGCGCGGCTCCTCCTTCCCACGCCGAAGATCCCCGCTCGAGACTCGCCTGCCTCGTCTTCTCTTCCCCGCACCGAATCCCTCTCCTTTGCACCGAACCCATCTGCCTGCTTTCCCTCTCCCAATCTCCCGCACCGAAGTCGCTCGCCTATTCCCTACATCAAAGCTTGCATCCTCACTATACTGACGGCGCCCAGCTACCTCCCCCTCCCTCATTGTCGGATTCGATTCACCTCGCTTTCTCGAGGTTTTCCCGCTCGCCCTCTCACGCTCACCCAAAACCTTCGCCTCTACATCATTTGCCTACCTCTCCTCACGCCGAAGCCCTCGGCCCCCTCTCCTCTGCACTGAACCCGTTGACCTGCTTCTCTGCTCTCGATTCTGCAATTTTCATAGAATTGCAGTTGTCGTTAGCAAGGAGGCAGCGACGAGATCACGGTGAACAGAGAGCCAAATTTGAAGATTGTTGATGCCAAGTACATCAGCACTGAATCAGCATCAAAGCTGCAGAAAGAGACACTTCAGCTTTTGGAGGTAATAAAGTGAACATTTTCTTCTCACCTCTCAAAATAAGAACGAGCATAATTAAGATATTCATAAATCAGCATATGTTTACATTTTTTTCGATATATGTACATACATGCTCTCTCTAAGGGTAACAAACTTTGGTACAGTTTGTGCTTACATAGTTTCATTCGTGTATTGTATGTGGTCAATGATAAACTTCATGATTGTTCCATATTTTATTTCATAATTTGGGTCACATATCAGCCATTTGATGGTTTTTTTAGGTTCAAATAGTGTTTTTTTTTTTTTTGTGTTATATGAAATATTTGGGAGGTACAAACGTCAAGAGCAAAGATTAAGTGTTAGACATGTCTTTACATAATAATTTGGTGGTATGTATGTAAACGCCCCTTCAACTTTCCAAGGTTGCTGTTTAAATTCGTTGATTTCATGGGTGTACCTATAAGGTCCATAATTTGGAAGACTTAATATCGATAAACCATAACTGATTGAAGGGTTATAATTTGTTATGAGTAGTAGGTGAAATAGAGATTTAATGCACTCATATTAGATTCACCCAGAAAGCTAAACTAAATATTGGTTTCTTATCGTTCTAATATATATATATATATATATATATATATATATATATATATAGACACACAAGCACAGTGGAATTTGCTTGTTAAAGATTACACTGAAGCCAAAGAATAAATAGAAGACATCCGAGAGATTTGTGATGACTTAAAAAAAAAAAACAGCTGCTAGAGGAAAATTGCATTGCCTACACTGAAATAAAGAGAATTATGGAGGGCCAGTTTTTCATGAACTGCATACTGCTTCGAAAATAACACTTAGAATTGTATGTGAGGAACCCCATCAAGATTACAATCTGGAGACCACACTTAAAATAAAATAGATCTTTCTCAGACATTAGAATTGACAGTCCTATATAGCTGATTAAATTGATTGAGAATATCTTTCGAAACCAGATCAATATGCAAAATTGTTGCAACGTTGATTTCCGATAGAAAATATGTGACGACAAATCTTTGACTATAATGCAACCTGATACTGAGGTAAAGTTTGTTAGGTAAAGTTTGTTAAAATACTGAGGTAAAGTTTGTTAAAAGGGGGTGGGATTGATAAGAAAGAGAGAGATTTTTGGTCATTTTGTCATTTTGAGGATGAGCGGAATAAGGGTTGATTCAATTTGGAAGATTTACATACATACCACTCGGTCGCTATGTATTTGCATATCTAACACCTAAACTTCAATATTTACATATATGCCACTTTAACTTTTCTTGAAAAGCTGTATTTCATTTTCAGAAAGTTGTGTTTCACTTTTAAAAATTAAAACAGGGGTATTCTTGATGTAATATAAAAGATTTGGATGACATGAATTTAAGGGAAAGTTTAGGAGTGAGACATGTAAACACCTCAGAGTTGAGTAGAGTGGATGCTTGAATAATATTATGTAATTCAAATCAATTTGAACCTCCATAATTTCAATCATACATTTCATATATTCAAACTAAACGAGTAGACTTCTCATACCAACTTCTCGATGTGCCTTTGCGAGGTAAACTCGGACATGGTCAAAGCTTTAAATGATCGTGGGAGCTACCCCTGGAACAAATGAAAAGGATGACATCAAACTTCTCGCCGGTGAGATCTCTTCAAAAAAATCATTTTAAAAAATTCAACAACATTTTCAAAACAAAAATTTAAAAAATTAGACAACATTTTCAAAAAAAAAAAACAATAACACATCATTTTGAATTTAAGGGACTCTCTCGGATGAGGTAACCCACGGTTGCTAAAGAGAACTCCCCAGTTTAGAAGAGCTTAATAACTCGTTTAAACTAAGTAAATTCAAAATAAAATAATGGTAGCTGAACGAGGGAACCATGGGATCCTAACCGGTGTCGCTCTAATCAACTTTAAATTCCCTCATAATGACAACAAAACCAAAACATTGAAACACGCCTGATAAAACCTTTTAAACCTTAGACTTTAGGACTGCTACTTCGACGAGAAGCTTGGATCCAGCTTTGTGGGCAACACGACAAGGAGTTTGGATCGAACAACAAGAAGACCTTCTTCAGCAATCTCTCTCTCCTTAGTATAAATAATAACACATAGGATTTCGCGATAGCTCACCCAGCGCGACGTAAATCCTCACACTCTCTTTAGGCTCCTGTACAATCATGTTGTGCAGTGTAAGTTCTAATTCCCTTTAGGTTCTGAGGTTGTCGCTCGTTACGACATAAACCCTCTTATCTTTACGGGCTATTTTCATAATCAGATATTATGCAAATGTAAGTCTCAAATAATAAAATTGGCAGGATTAAACACCTAAATAACATCGTCTCCAAAACTCAGCCACACATTAGAATAGTTTGAGAAGTCTCTGAGGTTTCTTCTCAATTGTTGTGACATCCCCTACCCTTTCTTTCATTTGGACTCCTAAATATAATTGTTCCTATTTGAGTCACTCTCACTTGCTTTTCCACGTCATACCGTGAAAATTAAAACATCGAATTCTTGAAGACTAGTACTTCTGATCATTATCGAGAATTTTCTCAAGTAACCCCAAACATTTGGGATGTAATTAACTATAGAGGATTGTCATTATAGGAAACTTGAAACCCAGGTAAAATAAACTCTATTTAATCTTTGTATTAGATTAGGGAACTTGTCGGTCACACATAAAATGTTCGCAGACCAAACGGATGTCACAAAACGTCACAAGTCACAAAACTCTTAGTTTGCAGAATTAGGTCTATCGCCGAGGTATATACTTATCTTTCGGAAGGGTGTAATACTCGCGGTATCGAACACGATTATGCAAACTATTGGACAAATGAAATCCATTTGGTCTCATTTTTCAAAAATGGTCTCATTTTTCAAAAGGTCTCATTTTTCAAAAATTAAAAACATACGACTTTCAAAACTCAAACTATATGCCTCTTATACTTAAATTAAATTTCAAAATTATTTTCAAAAATTAAATCAAAAAGTTGACTGACAATATATATATATATATATATATATATATAAAAGAATGGTCGGATGCTATGATACGAGCCCCAATCATCCCACATGCGCCTATAATTTGAGTACCGCACCCTATACTTAGGGGGAATCGAACCTCAGACCAGAGAAGACTTACAACTGACAAGCAGATGCCCGGCCAACTGATCTGAGTACGCGACGCATATATATATATATATATGTATATCAGAGGAAACTTACAGATGTCCGAGGAACTGATTCAATTATTTGGATGATTCTATTGATTAGTTAACGATAGTACTATAAATAGAAAATTTATATTTCATCATCCAATCATTTGTTCATGTCTTGAAAATTCCAAACCCTCAGGTCACGTCGTGACGCACTTCTACAAAGAAATATTTTGTCCAAATTTTTCGATAATTACCTTGCAGTATAATTCATTTTCTAGAATAGCAAACAGCACGAGAAATTAAAAAAGTTCAGTATCCGCCTTAACACAAATTCTTCAACGGAATAGATATCAAAGTTCTATAGTGATAGCTCTCTAAAAATACTGAAGAAGTTGATTGTGTGCCTATAGAACTCTCATATGAAAAAACAAAAAACAAATGAAGAGATGCAGCAGAAGAAGTGCTTCATAATAATTGTAAGTTCTAAAGATTATTGGGAAAAGTTATTAAACAGATTTTGATAAAGGACAATAAAGTTGGTTCATACAAACTCAATATGTCAAAAATTAGCATTTTAAATTTACCTTCCAAAATGGAGATCAGAAGTTGGAATCATTGGGTGTGTGTGGTGGG